CGCAACCGGTTGCTCCCAGGAAACGTTCGCGTTAATAAAAGGAGCCAATGTTTCCTCCACTTTCTTCCTGTCGGGCTGCCTCAATGGCGAATCCATTCGCGAAGGAATTCTTTTATCTCGCCGTTCATTGTCAACCTCGTTATTATGTAATCCCCGGAGACGAATGCGCTTACTTCCGACCGGCTCATTGATTGTCGTGGTTTTATTCGCATGGAAAGAAGGGAAAAACGCTGTGGGAGAGAGGAAAAAAAAGAAGAAAGGAAAAAAGAGGAGATAATTGAGAACGCGTTAGCAAAAACCTGTCTGTACCACGGTATCTAACTGTAAGTCCCCTTTCGTCTTTCGAACCGACGTTTCCCATACGACGGACGAACTCGGGGAGAAGGGGGAAAAATCGCGTTAAGACCGGTCGACGAACATTGATTTTTCTCCCCACGCTCTCGTCTACGAGCCAACGATGCTTTTAAAGCATTAACTTCGCCGATTCGACTTCCAATTCGCCGTGTTGAAGCCCCAAATGTGAGAATTCAGGATCGCGATAAATAAACCATAACAGACACGCGCGCGTTATTTTGCCGAAACATTACGTGGGGATATATGGGTCATTTCGTATGGACGACGCCGCGCACACATCGGTGAGCGGCGGGAGGACGAGCGGGGAATGAGAAAAAGGGAGAAGCAAGAGCGCGAAGGCCGCAAGGGAGGACGGGCGAAAGAGAGAGAGAAGGAGGTTTATAGTCTAGCGGGCGTTCAAGGGTGTTACTCGACGTAGCAGGAAACACGTACACGGCAACAAATGGTAATAATAAAAGGGGCTCGTTCGCCGGCGATCCATGCCAAGTAACAATGCAGGAAGCGTGTGCGTGAGAGGCTGCACACATTCGTCGAGTGGCCGGGGAACGAGCCTTTTTTCTCACTTACAGCCATCGCTGACACACGGCAACGTCTAAGTCCGCGGATTAATGGGCGAACTTTCCACGAAATTGACGTTATAATCGATTATTTCTCTTTTAGATTATATTCGTTATATATCTCTCGGCGAAAGAATAATGGAAATATCAAGTTTGTTCGCATTCCGTAATTTTTTGAGCGTTCATATCGTATCATATCGTTAGACATCTGATGATATATAAGTACACACGGAAAATATTATATGACTCATAGTTCGTATCGTTGTTATTAGACGTTTAATAAGATTAATCTGTAAATTTCGAGTATCGAGTAATTTTTAAATTTTTGTTATTGAATCAAATAGGGAATAGATAAATTCAATTATATTTAATCATTTCTGTAAATACTCGAAAGATAAATGGTAAGTAATATACTTTGAAACAATATCCTACGTGTAACGAGATAATCTTATCTACGGGAAAAATTCCACGTTTAGCTAAGCAAGAATTTAATACGATTCATTCCTTGAATTTCTGCTAGACACGAGAAATAAACGTGAACGTACGGGGATAGGAAACGCGGATACAAACTAACATTTTAGTAGATTAAAATGTAAAATACAAGGTAATCTCTACACGATTGCTCGCGTGAGAGTATACTTGTTAAAAGTTGAAGCATGTGTACATACATACGCACCGTGCTTGAAGACGGTGAAAAAAGGAAAAAACGATACACACACAGCACTTACTTACGTAGTAAGAACGATCGTGCAGTAACCGCTGGTATGTGCAAGGCATACACGCACCGAGGTCACGTGGCGAGTGGATCGGCCATCTTGGAAATAACGATCCTTGCATTAACCCTGCCGCCATACAACGGGAATGCAATTCGATGATGCACGGTTCGTAAACCCTACCGGCTCGTCTCTTTTTTTTTTTCTTTTTTTTTCTTCTTTCTTTCTCTTTGTCGCGTAACGATCCAACAGGTTAAAGGTAGAAGGTTCAACAGGAACTTGACAAATGCTCTGTACAGTTCGAACACGAAAGACGTATCGGGATCGTATATATATATATATTCTTCGAGAAGGGAAGGCGGTACTTCGAACTCGGCCCGACGTGAAATGTCTGAGCGTTGTATTAGTGAGGTCACGGCACGGCCACATCGAGTAACGATGTAACCGTGTGCATCTAGCTTCTCCCGCTGCAGTTGTCGCGCAAGTTTCGCGGAACTTTAGTCTCGCGTATCGACTCCCAAGGTCGTGCTCCGACAGATTCCAAACCTCGTGGAATTTCTGACGAGCTCGAAGAAGCGAGAATTAGCGGAGAAAATTAGAGGCACGTTAACGAGCTTCGCAAGTTAAAGCCCGCGATCGATTAATCCGCGAGAAAATTTGATTCCTCGAATTCCCCTTTATCGCGTTCTTCCATTTCGAGGCTTTTTTAGACTTCCCTTTTTTTTAGGATTTTAAATTAATTATCCTCCTTAAATCGATAAAGATACCGCAAATTTTTAGGGACGAAATCTTTTCGATTGCACGCTCTGTATTACTTAACTTGCTACGAACTATTCGACGACCAGTTTTTTTTTTTTTTTTTTTTTTCGTTTTCTTTAGTTGAAATACGGAAAACTTGTGATTGAAAGCTGCGCTAGCCCATCAAAGTTGGCGACCGACGTAACTCTCCTCATGCATAAGCGATCGGCGCGCTGAAACTTAATACCAACCGCGGCAGACGTTTGTCAACTTTGCAATTACCGCCAAGGTTGTGGAAGTTAATCCTACGGGGGCAGCCGAGGCATTGTAATATTTTTTCGCGCGCCATTCGCGTTAGAACACGTCATGTGGCTCTTAACCTCAGCTTATAGGCCTCTTCCAACGTCGATAACGCGTGTGTAGGTTAGAAATTACGGAACAAACTCCTTTCCCGAAGCACGCTCTCCTCGAGTCACGATACCACCACCTTCCTCCCGCCTCGAAAAGCATTTTACTATAGAGGAGAGTAATCGATCGATCCAATGTCTGGTGGTTCTCTCGTGTTCTTCGATTACGTAAATCCGTGTTACGAAACGATAACGCGGTGTATACCTCACGTTCACAATTAAGACCATAGTAAGTAAGATACTTTCGACAATTGTGTTATAAAGCCGCGTTTACACGTAGGAGCGAGCGAACCAATCAACTTTCACCACTTTCACAAAATTCAAGTATAAAGCATTCTTTTATTATGCACTCGTTAATAACTCGCCGGATTGAAGGTCAAACGTGTCCAAACGTTCTAATAATCTCAACTCGTTTAACTGATAGAAACTTGGAAATAATAGATCAATTGTTCGATGAAATCACTCTTTTTAATTCTCTTATTATATATTCAGATCATCTATATGATCAAATCTCATTTTTAGATCGGAGTAAAGTTTTTCTTTTTTGTTCTAAATTTTATTTAAATCTCTTAAATGTTTTATTTCTTTGTCTGTGTATTTGTGAAAAAATACACACATTGATAATTTATATAGATTTTTTTTTTACTTTTAGCTTAATCAGAAAGATACATTATTTCTTCTTATTCTATATATTCGCATGGATTGCAATGTCGAGGGAAATAGATTTCTTGAAATTATCAGTAGCTTTTTGATTCGTTCGCTCTTTGAGAAGAGGAAAGTGAGAAACATTGAGCGCGAATGAGATAAAGAGTATTCAGATTCGAGAGTTCAGTTAATCACATAGTGTAAGTATGCACGCTTCGTCGCAGTAGTTCCAGGAATTGGTGGGGATGAACACTACGGAGGGAGAAAATGCGAACATTAACGAGGAAACATTGTATTTTCATGTATTCACGAACCAGAAACGCTAGCAGTTGAATATAATGAAAAATTAATTAGAATTTCATAATACATTTCTTACATTTTTTTTTTATGCAATTAAATATCATATCCAATTTAATTTGAAAAATTATTTACTGATTATATTAACTCTCGTATCTGGAAAAGTCTGTATATCAATCTTTATAAAACTTTACAAATATGAATTCATTATAAACATAAGTTCTTATATAAACGAGTTTAGAAGCAGTTTACAATGAACGATATCTCGCTTTCTAAATAGATATTTTTACTCGTTCAACACAATTTAACATTTTCGATTAACGTGACGATTGAACAATACAATAACTGATTGCAAGCTATTCAAAATTTTAGTTTGGATGTGACATTGCTTTCATTCGTTTCGAACGAAAAGTATCTTTCGCGAAAAAGCTCGCAAAATGTTTCTAATCAATATTTGTACGGATGAATTTTTGCGGCAGAAATCGAATTTCAATTGTCCATAAATCCTCTTGTATCTATAATATTTTATAAAAATTTTAAATAAAAAAAAAAAGAAGGATCAAAAAGAAAGAGAAAAAGAGATGAAAAGAATTAAATATAGTTACGTTCACGGATATTTGCGGAAGCCCCTACGTTAGATACAATCGATAGCCGGTGGTCTGAACAGTTACAAAGGGCTTTGTGCTCGACATGCACGACCCAGCGATCAGTACGGTGCGCTGGTGCGCGTGCGCGAATCGTGTTGTACGAGGCTATACCTCGATCAAGGCCATTTGTCGTTTATTGCGATAGAATCCAACCAGTTTTCAATTTGCTCCTTTTACTATGGCGCGGTCTGTGTTTGTATTATGCATTTTCTTTACGCGATGTTTCCCCTCGATGTTAAACAGAATGGCTAATTACCTTCGTAAATGCGAGCCGTTAACTCGTTGAAACCGCGTTTAATTCGTAACGTCATCCGCCGCGTGTGCGGTTTTGTTAATCAGTGAGCCGAGGCCAAGGTACAGTTTCGTTCGGCACGCCATTCGCGTCGTTTATTCTCATAAGCTTGATTCCACTTCGATAAAACTTTGATTTGAAAGCGTGAAAATTATCCCACAATTTCGTATCCTTGTTCCACCTCGATCATATAATAATAATTATCGCGAATTGTTTCGCTCAATTCACGTTCATACATATATTAGTTCGCGGAAAAATGCGGCAACTCGATCGGTAGTTTCCTCCTCCTTCTGTTGTGCTAGCCAAGTATGTGCGAGGAACGTGCGAAAGGTTTATCGATTCTCGGTTGTTGGTAGTTATATATCCGATATCCTAAGGGCACACGTGTGCCTGTGTATGCGTGTCTGATATACATAGCTGAAACAACAAGGTCAACCGTGACACCATTGCAAAAAATGCCACTGTTGCACATTCCCCCGATAAGCCATCGTACGTGTTCGATGTATAAAAAGCGTCAATGAAGGGGACGTATTTTTGGTTTCTTTCCTCGGTCTGCTTACGCGGAGAACACGTAACTCAATATCCTTGGTGTAATCCAATATTCCTGAGGATATTTACCCGTGCAAAATTCAATTACGTGTGTGTCGCCAACTTCACAGGTTATTAATTAACGTAGCAAGCTCGGATTAAGTACGTACATATTTCCGTCTCTCGTATCGAGTACAAGTGTTCCTCCATGTTTGTTCAGCCTGATGAAAGCAGATGTTCGAAGCCGTTCATCGAAATCGTAAAGGTTCGAGGTCACTTGTGATTCATCGAAGAAACTCGGCTCGGTGACTCGTGAGATACCATAAAAACGAGCCGTTCTTCGAACATTTTTTTCTTTATATATACGGTGATTCAAAAATTCGGAAATTATGCCAAAATTTAAATTTCTATCCTTATATCATATTTGTATAAATAATTATCAAGCCACGCAATGTTTTTAGATAAATAATTTTGCAACAATTGATTGTATTTTTTTATTTACTATTATTTAAAATTCCAATATAAAATTGAATTGATTTTACATTCGAAGGCAATTTTGTCCATAAAAATTTATATAATTATCGAGCCATAAATATACTTAAAAAAAACAGATTTTATCAAGATAGGATAAAACTCACAGTGGCGCGCATAAAAAAAAAATTTCCGTATTTTCGAGAAATTTCACGAAAAGAAGATAGGGGAAATGTGTGTCCCCATAACTACTCGTGCAAATCTCTGTCCTTGAACACACAGGCAACGTGGTCACAGGCGTATGCGTGCGACCGAGTGACGCGATAGAAAGATACCGGGGCTCATACGCATGCGCGTGCACATGCAAAATGCAACCAGCTGCCGGGAATGCGGGAGACAGGAGACACTCGAAACCTAGGCACTAATGTTCCTCTTCACTCGCGTTACATAAACCAGGAGCGAGGCCTCCGAGCAGCTTCGGCTACTTGCCTCAAAGCCTGGCGCAACCTAGCTATTCCCTTTGGTTTCCTGCCTCCCATTATTTGCCGCTACCGAGGGGAGATCCTGTTTG